GTTCAAACCAACAAAAAAGGAATGAGATGGGTGGGCCGCGCAATCTCACCGGATCCCAGGACATTCTCCATGTGTACCATCAAGGAGTGGCATGTGTCCTGATCGCAAGCTTGGTATGCGACACGCTGGAATCCAAGTATGAAGGAATCACTCTCAAGGAGATGGACCGACGTCTCTCCCAAGAAGTTTACCAACACTACAAAAAGTGGTGCAGAGAGCGAGCCGCATACGTGACTGCATGTTCGCACAGGTTTTCGTTGGCAAGGTTCGGGAAGGACACATGGAACGCATATCCCGAGCTGGGTTCTATATTTAAGGCAGCGGTGGTGAAAACAATGTTGTACTGGTGCTTGGATTACCTAAGGGGTCAACAGCACACACCGCGAGGAGATCGCCGAGCTCAAACCATGTACTACTTTACGCACTTCCAGTTTTTGATGGATACACACGGACCCTTTTTGAGCAATGATGTTGCACGTAAAGTGGTTCAAACAGCGCGGGATGGTCTGGTGGCCTACCAACGACTTGCTAGCAACGACCGTAAGAGGGAAGACGGGCGGAGAACCTTCAAAATCATACCGAAGTTCCATGCCATGTTGGAGCTGACCATATACATCGAAGAGACCAAGCGCAATCCAAGGTTTCTCAAATAAGAATTGCTCCCAAGTTTTCCTGTTTGTTGACCGGTGCCCCCAGTCAAGTCAAAAACTTGGATTCACAATGATTCACCTTTCTGGCCTTCTAGACCACACCTCAGGTTTGATGCCAACTACCAAGACGAGGATCTAATGCAACAAGTGGGCAGGATTGCTTCAAGAGCTCATCCTAACACGTTAGAGTTCGTCACTTTAAGCCGATATAGGGCTCTTTTGGAATTGTTTGTGCACCAGCGCTCTTGAATCTGAGCACCCGCACTCAGCTTCTTCGCAGAAGAAATGGGCGGCCATGGATGGAGCGGGAATGAAGGCGGAGTCGCCAAGTGATCTAGGTTTTGGGGTTATGGGTCTGTAGGGTGTAAAGTGGAGTTGCCATACCTGGTGAAAGCGAAAGCGTGTTTTGTCCACATGTGTTTACACCATCTAATGTTCCCCAAACGTTTGTCCAAGAAGGCGGCGGGCATGTGAGGACCACCTCGAACCTTGAAAACAAAAACAAAAACAAAACAAGACCAAATCCCTGGAAACACACGAGCACAATCGAGCACACATATGAGTATTTATGGTTATTTATATTCACATATATTCACAGTATCTCTTCAATAGAAGAGATACTGTGGGCTCAAGGTCTTCGTTGCGACCTTGCAACTTTCAGCGTTTGAGCACCAAACTTTAAAGGCCAGCCAGACTATACTTTGCAACTTTCAGCGTTAAGGCGCCAAACTTGAAGCCCAGACAGACTACCTGTTTTGTGCTGCCCACGATCATTTGATTCAAAGGCTTAAGCTGTAAGCCTTCAGTTTTACATGGTCAAGATGAGCCTTAAAACACTGCCAAAGGCTCAAAACATAACACTCCTGGCTCTCTAGGTTTCTGAACCTCCGTGTGCAGATCTCGTGGCAGGCACAGCACTTTGCTGCT